AGTCAAATCCAGCTCAGTGGGGGCCAGCAGATGGCGTAGTGGTTAAGGTGCCAGACTCCCACATGCTAACTGTTGTTCGAGTCCCACATCTGGAGCCTTGAAACTCACACAGGGCACGTGTGTGTGTGTGTGTGTGTGTGTGTGTGTGTGTGCCCAAGAGCCCGGGAGGAGAACGTAGGAAAAGGGATTGCGGCGTGGCCATCCTCCCTGGGTGTGTGTGTGGGCGGAGGGTGATTTCTCACTTTCCATCTCTCTGTCTCTCACTGTCTCTCTCTACGAAGACTACATGCATCCTAAGGCAAAAATCACTAAAAAAATAAGAAAAGAAAACCCTGGCTGACCAAAACATCCATTCATTTGCCGTCTTCCTTGAGGTCTAATTCTTGCATAACCAAGCTGGCTGAAGAAGGAGGCAGACCCTTGCTGCTGTGCTTCTCCAGGTTGGAAGAAGGAAATGGTTTTTCTGGAACTGGCAGGCCCCTATTTTGGTTCCCATTAGTGGCAGTGCAATGGCAAAGGAGCCCAAGTGGGCCAGATGTAGGACCTGACTGAATGCCTCAGCACCACAGTGCTCCCACCTGCCCGGTTTTCAGCAGGGCCAGCCTCTGGTCTCATCTGGAAGGACAATGCTGACAGTCCAGACCCTACTCAAGGCTTTCTTCCCTGTGCTCTGGCAGGAGGTGTAGTAGCCAACCCAAAATGTCTTGTGCTTATCACAGGATTCAGAATTTGGGGACTTTGGTGCTTGGAAGACCTTCAAACGAAACTCCTAATTAGTGATGGAAGGAGCCTCCTGTAGAGACACAAGGAGTTAGAGCAGAAGCCCAGGGAAACTGCTCGTGAGACTGCACACTGTTCGCTCTAGAAGTCTTCGTCTGAATGGCAGAACGATTCCTTCAGAGCGGCCTCAGGCAGAGCTCTGAGACATCAGAGCTGGAAAGGACTCAGGGGATGTTTCTGCTGGAGGGTGTGCTAGTGTACGTAGGGACCAACTTCCTTATTTTAGAGCCAGGCCTCAGCCCCCATAGGAGCAGTTTGCAGATCTGGGAAATTTTTTCCAAGAAAGAGGTCCATACGAACTGCTTTAGATGTTTTGGCTAGGGTGAAAGAGAAAGGCAAATTATCTGTGATAGTCATTACAGGTACAAGAAGAAAAGTAGTCATTGGGCATTCATTCTGCAAACACTTACTGACATCTACTGTGTGTTAGTCCATTCTTCTGTTGCTAAACAAAAATACCTGAGACTGAGTAATTTATAAAAAGCAGAGTTTGGGCTGGACCCATGGCCTAGTGGTTAAAGGAGTTGGATCTCATATGGTCAGCCTTGTGGTTCAAATCCTGGATACTTTGGATGTGTGTACATTCATGCCCCAAACCCCAGTAGGGTGAAGAAATGGAAAAGGGGGAACCAGCAGTTAGCATAATGGCTATGTCGCTGGACTCCCACGTAGTTGACCGTGGTTCGCGTCCCGGACCCGGTGGCTTAAAACTCACACCAGGCACGTGTGCATGCGTGCCCAAGATCCCAAGAGGAGAATGGAGGAGAAGGGATTGCAGCGTGGCCATTCCCCCTGGGGGGTGATTTCTAGCTTTCTATCTCTATTTCTCTCTCTGTCTATCTGGCGAGTGCACGCGCCCTGTAGCGAAAACCTCTAAAAAAAAAAAGGAAAGAAATGGAGAAGGAATTGCAGTGTGACCACACCCCATTGTGGGGGGGAGTGTTTTCTCTCTCTTTCTCTGGTAAGCACATGTGCCCTATAGCAAAAAAAAAAGTAAAAATAGATAAAATAATAAACAAAAAGAAAAGAATAGAGGTTTATTTGACTCATGATTCTGGTAGCTGAAAAGTCCACAGCTGTGAGACTGGCTTTGGGCTGGCCTCTGGTGTTACATCACATGATCAACAGAAGCAGGGAGGATGGTGGGCATGTGTAAAGGCCACAGGAATACAATTGCCCACTTCCTCTGTCCCTTCCATACCCCCAGCCCATTAGACAGTGCCCTCTCATTAGGCCCCCAAGGTCTTCAGCACCTCTCAAAACCATTACACTGGGGACCAAGCTCACATGCATGAACCTTTGGGGGACAAACCATTATCCACACCATCACAATGGTGTTTTGTGCTAGCAGCAGCAGGAAAGTGAAGAGGAGTGAAACAGTGTAAGGTAAGAAGTGACAGAAAACTGACTCAAGCCAACTTCAACAAAAGGGCATTTGTGGCTCAGGTACTTTCAAATACAGAAGTAGGGTAAATGTTACGGTCTGAACTGAATCCTTCCAAAATTCCTATGTTGAAAGAATGTGACTGCATTTGGAGATAGAGCCTTTAAGGAGATAATTAAGAGTGAGGTCCTGAGCCAGCAGGTGGTGTGGTTGTTAAGGTGCTGACTCCATAGTTTGAGTTCTGGACTCAGCAGCTAAAAAATACACCAGGTGTATGTGTGTGTGTGCTCAAATCCCAAGAGGAGAATAGAGGATGAGGGATTGCCATCTCTCCTGGGGAGTGCGTTCTCTTTTTTCCCTTTCTGTTTTTCTATCCCTTTGGCGAGCACAAGCACCCTATCAACAAACAAAAACAAAAATTAAAAAACCTTAATTCTAGGGGCCATGCGAAGACATAGTGAGAAGGTAGCCACTCACAAGACGGAAGAACAACCTCACTAGAAACCAGGACTGATGGCACCTTGGTCTGGGACTTCCAGCCTCCAACACCATGAAAAAATGCTTCTACGCCCTCCAACAGTGGCATTTTGTTATTGTAGTCTAAGCACAGGAACACAGTGGGCTTCCCAATTGTTTGGTCAGGAAACACTGATCCCGGGGCTGACAGATGGTATAGTTGAGGCACTGGGACTCCCACATGGCCTACCACAGTTTAAGTCCCAAACCTTGCTTTCTCACGTTATCTCTGTCTCTCTCTAGTGAGCACATGTACCCTATAACAAATAATAGTAATAATAACAATAATATATGAAATTAAACAATTATTTTTTAAAGAATTATTTTTTATTTGATTTTTGTTGAGAGGTTTTTGCTATAGGGCGCGTGCGCTCACCAGAAAGACAGAGCCAGGGAGAAGAAAGCAAGAAATCACCCCCCAAGGGGGATGGCCACGCTGCAATTCCTTCTCCTCCATTCTCCTCTTGGGATCTTGTACACACACGCACATGCGCCTGGCGTGAGTTTAAGCCACTGGGTCCGGGACTCGAACCGCGGTCAACTACATGGGAGGCCAGTGACATAGCCATTATGCTAATTGCTGGTCCCTTTATTTGATTTTATTCATCATCATCATCATCATTATTATTTTAATTTGATCAGAGAGAGAGAGAGAAAGTGAGAAAGCCAGCTGCTAGGTCTGAGACCCGAACCATATTCATCCATGTGGGAGTCCAGCACACCCCAACCACCATGCCACCTGCTAGCCCCTAAACAATTTTTTTTTCAGAGGTTTTCGCTATAGGGCGTGTGCACTCACCAGAAAGATAGAGAGAGACGGAGAGACAGAAAGCGAGAAATCCCCCCCCAGGGGGATGGCCACGCTGCAATCCCTTCTCCTCCATTCTCCTCTCGGGATCTTGGGCACGCATGCACACGCGCCTGGTGTGAGTTTAAGCCACCAGGTCTGGGACTTGAACTGCGGTCAGCTACATGGGAGTCTAGTGACATAGCCATTACACTAACTGCTGGTCCCAGCCCCTAAACAATTTTTTACAAAAAGAAAAAAAAATAAAAAGAAACTCTGATCCTGTCTCCCTGCAGTTCTCCCACCCCTGCCCTCCTCGCTGTGTCACTCCTTCCCTACGCTGGTAGCGAGAGCCCAGTTCCAGGCTCAGCAATGTCCAGAGGGAGAGAAGGAGACAGGGCTGTTCCATGAAGCTCTCACGGAAAAACAAGAAAGCTCTTTCCTAGAAACCCCATCAACTTTTCCTGGTATCTGTTGGCCCTCTCTGGGTCACATGCTCAATCCCGAACCAGTTCCCAAACTTGGGAAAGCAAGGCACTGTGTATCAGCAGAGCATGGGAAAAGTTGAAACAGAGATATTCCAAGTAGAAAACCCTGAGCAAAATAGAAATGTGTCTCTTTCCTGGAAGAGTCCGGAAGAAAGCGGTCCAAGACTGATAGGAGGACTCAGCCATCTCCCAAATGTGGCCTCCCTCTCTGGATCCAAGGAGACTGCTTCAATTTCTGTCTTCTCTTAGTCGGCGAGAAGGGCAGGAAGAGGGTTAGGGAAGCACGTGCACGTTCCTTTTGAATGTACAGCTTAGAATCATTTCTGCTCACTGTCCATTGATGAGAACAGACCCATGGCCACACTGAGCTGCATGGGATGCTGGGAAATGTAGTCCTCAGTGAGGCTGCCATCTACTCAGTTGAAAATCAGGAGCTCCATTACTGAAGAAGGGGCTGGCAGGTGGTCTGGTGGTTAAGGGCTCTGGACTCCCACATGGTTGACTGTGGTTTGAGTACCAAAACTAGCAGCTTGGTTTTTTTTATTTATTTTTTTAATTATCATCATAATCTTCTTTATATTACATTGGATTACATATAACTCTACAGTGTATTACATTGCCCCTTCAAAAGGGAAGCAGCTTGTTTTTTTTTTGTTCTCTCTCTCTCCTTTGTCCCTTGCTGGTCAAAATAAGTAAACAAACAAAGTTAAATAAAATAATTGTTTTAAAAAAATTTTTTTTAAAAGACTGGGAGAGAGGTTATTAGTGAACCAGAGAAGTCTTGGCCACACATTGATTAATTTAGGCCCACATTTCTGAATCCATTCTTTTTTTTTTTTTTTTGAGATTTTTGCTATTGGGTGTGTGCGCTCACCAGAGAGAGACAGAGAGACAGAAAGCGAGAAATCACTGCCCAGGGGTATGGCCACTCCACAATTCCTTCTCTTCTGTTCTCCTCTCAGGATTTTTGGGCACACATGCACATGTGTCTGGCATGAGTTTGAAGCCCCTGGGTCTGGGACTGGAACCACAGTCAACTATGTGGGAGTCCAGCAATGTAACCATTATGCCATCTGCTGGCTCCTGAATGAGTTCCTGGAAAGGGCAGTAGGCCCAGCTCTGAGTTGGGCAAGGGGTCGACTTCCACTGAGGCACACGGCACTCTGGGTTTGTCTTTTTGCAGCAGCTTAGCTTTTACTCTCAATAATGCACTGCCTTGAGCTTCCTTCGCTTCAGGAAGCTGGACGGAGGCGAATGGATGCTCTGTAGTCAACTAGCCACGTCTCCTTCATCACCTGCCCTCGAGGTCCTGGGACTGTGGAGTAAGAGAGAGAATTTGGTTTTTGAAAGGTTTTTTGCTATAGGGTGCCTGTGCTCTCTGGAGAGAAACAGAAAGAGACAATGAGAGGGAAAGTGAGAAATCACTCCCTGGGGGTCAACAAAAGGCTGTGACAATGAGATAAATGGCAAACCAGCGGCAGCATATAGAGCCTAGAAAAACAGAGGGAAGAGTTAAGGGAAGCTTTCTTCTTCTTTCTGTTTTAGAGGTTTTTTGCCTTAGGGAGTGTGTGCTTGCCAGAGAGACAGAGAGAGAGGGAGAGAATGGGAAATCATCCAAGGGGGATGGTCACACTGCAATCCCTTGTCCTTCATTCTCCCGGGATCTGACACATGCATGCATGTGGGTTCAGGACTCGAACCGTGGGCAACCACGTGGCAATCTCACAGCATAACTGCTTTGCCCTCTGCTGGCCCAAGAGAAGCCTTCCGAAGAAGGAATAGGTGAGATCAGAAGATGGCGTAATAGTTACATCGCTGGACTCCCATGGCCGCAGTTCTAGTCCTGGATCCAGAGACAGAACACACTGGGCACGTGTGCATGTGTGCCCAAGATCCTGAGAGGAGAAGGGATTGCAGCATGGCCATCCCTCCTGAGGGGTGATTTCTTGCTTTCTGTCTCTCTGCCTCTCTGGGGAGTGCATGGACCGTATAACAAAAACCTCTCTTAAAAAAAAAAAAAAAGAGAGCGAGAGAGAGGGAACCAGCAGGTGGCATGGTGGTTAAGGCACTGGACACCTGCACATGGGGTGTCTGACCATGGTTTGAGTCCTGGACCTAGCGGCTTGCTTTCTCACTCTCTCTCTTTCTCTCACTCTCTCTGTCTCTCTCTGGTTAAATTTTAAAAATAATAATGAATGAATAAGTAAAATAAAATAAAATAATTCTTGGAAAAAAATAAAAAGATAGAAAGGATAAGGAGGGACCAGGAGGTGGTGTGGTGGTTAAAGTGCTGGACTCTCATGTGACTGACTGCAGTTTGAGTCCTGGAGCTGGCAGCTTGCTTTCTCACTTTCTCTCTGTCTCTCTCTCTCTCTCTCTCTGGAGAGTGCGTGTGTCCTGTGGCAAATTGGGAAAAATAATAATAAATAAATAATAATTTAAAAAAAAAAAGAAAAAGAAAAGAAGGGGTAGGAGAGTATAATGAGTTCATTTAGCTGGGTTGTAGACAATAAATGAGAATATCCCAAATAGTTTTAGTTGGGGAAGGGCATTTCAGACAAAGGACATAGCTAAACCACGGAGGTGTGGAGGCACATAAGGTGTGGCTTGTGGTCTGGCCAGATAGAGAGTGGGCAGCTGAGAGGGCCCCTGAGGATGGCGCCTGTGAGGGAGCAGCCAGTGTGACAGGCCTCTGGAAACCACACGGGGTTTTGAAGCTGGGGAGACGGGAGACATGATCAGATCTCCGTCTTTCTCTGAGGCAGGGACTGGAGGATGACTCGTTGGGAAGCTATTTCCCACATCTGCTGAGTACTGAAGAGAGCTTGCATCAGGGCTCAGTGGTGGGAATGGGGGAAGGAGACCGCTGGCAGAGAGATGTTCGTGGTAGAATGACAGAATTCGGTAACTGGGTGACTGAGGAGGGTTGACCAAGGACAAGGGAGGGTGGTGTTTAAATATGATCTAAGTTCACTTGCTCGTGCTGTCTTAGGCTGTTTTCCGCTGCCGTAACAGAATACCACAAACTGGGTAATTTATGAAGAATCGAAGTGTATTGAGTTCATGGTTCTGGAGGCTGGGGTGTCCATGAGCATGGTGCTAGCAGCCGGCAAGGGTCACCCCATTGTGGAAGCCATTGCATGAGTGTGTGAGGCAGAAAGAGGAAATCAGGCAGAATACCTTTTTTGTTTGTTTGTTTGTTTGTTTGTTTTTGCAATAGGGTTTCTGTGCTCACTAGAGAGCAAGACAGTGAGAGGGAAAGTGAGAAATCACTCCCGGCCCCCAGAGGGGGGATGCCCATGCTGCAAGCCCTTCCCCTTCCATTCTCCTCCTGGAATTTTGGGCACACACACACACACATGTGCTCAGTGTGATTTTCAAGCCGCCAGGTCCAGAACTCGAGCTGTGGTCAGCCATTGCCATGCGGGAGTCCAGTGCCTTAACCGTCATGCCACCTGCTGGCCTCAGGACTCGTCTTCTTTATCAGCAACCCACTCCCATGATAATGGCTAAATCCACTCAGGAGGATAAGGCTCTCATAACCTAATCACCCTGTAAATGCCCCACTTCCTACCACTGTGACACCGCCAGTTAAATTTCAACATGAGTTTTGGAGGGGACAGTCAAACTGTAGCTTGCTAGAAACTCAGAGGAATATTGGAAATGCAAGTTTTAGAGGTGAGAGGAGAAATTTCTTCTGACTGGTTCATAACAGACTCCAGGCTCCTTTAGGTCCCTTAAATACACAACAATCTCTCTTAACTCAAGACATCTGAACACCCTGTCCTAGCTCTATAGAACTCTCCCTCGAATCTCCAGCTGGCTCGTTACTAACTTCCTCCAAGGGCCTTTCTTGACCCTGTAACCTAGGCCAGAAACCCTCGTACACATTTTTTAAAGGATCATTTATTAAATTAATTAATTAATTCTTTTTAAAAAAGAATTATTTTACTTAACTTCATTTATTTATTTATTTTTAATTTTGACAGAGAGTGACAGAGAGAGAAAGAGAGGGAAAGTGAGAAAGCAAGCTGCCAGGTCCAGGACTCGAACTATGGTGAGCCATGTGGGAGTCCAGTGCCCCTAACCACCACGCTGCCACCTACTGGCCTTGATTTATTTATTCTTAATTTGACTAGAAAGAGACAGAGAGAGAGAGGGAGGGAAAGTGAGAAAGCAAGTCATCAGGTTCAGGACTCAAACTGTGGTTAGCCATGTGGGAGTCTTGCACCTTGACCACCATGCCACCTACTGGACCCCACATTTTTTTTTTTTTTTTTAGATTTTTGCCAAAGAGTATGTGCACTTGCTAGAGAGACAGTGAGAGGGAAAGCGAGAAATCACTCCCTGGAAGGAGGAATGACCACCCACAATCCTTTCTTCTCCATTCTCCTCCTGGGATTTTGGGCATGCATGCACATGTGCCTGGCATGAATTTGAACCCACTGCGTCTGGGATTCAAACCATGGTTGGCTACATGGGAGTCCAGTGCCCCAACCACTGCACCACTTGCTGGCCCCACACTTTATTATTATTTTTCTAAGTTTCTTTCTTTTTTTTTCTTCCATAAGTGAGAGAGAGGGACAGAGATACAGCACCCCCAACAGGGTGTGGTGCCACAATCCACCCTAGCCCCAGCCATCCTGCATTGTTGGTACACAGGGGCCTGGCACATTCAGAGAGGTCTCCAGATGCGAACTGGTGACCTTCCCATGTGAGTCTGCCATGCAGAGAGTTGTGTTTTCTGGCTGTGCCACAATCCAGCTCTTCTCTCTCTCTCTTTCTCTTTTTTTAGGTTTTAGGTTTTTTTTTTTTTTTTGAGAGATTTTTGCTATAGGGCACGTGCGCTCACCAGGCAGACAGAGAGAGATATAGAGACAGAAAGCGAGAAATCACCCCCCAGAGGGGATGGTCATGCCGCAATCCCTTCTCCTCCATTCGCCTCTCGGGATCTTGGGCACGCACGCACACGCACCCGGCGTGAGTTTAAGCCACTGGATCCGGGACGCGAATCACGGTCAACTACGTGGGAGTCCAGCGACATAGCCATTACGCTAACTGCTGGTTCCCAGTTTTTTTTTTTTTTTTTTTTTTTGCCATAGGATCTGTGTGCTTGCCAGACAGAAAGAGAGAGAAAGTGGGAAATCATCCCCCTTAGGGGGGTGGTCAAACTACAATGCCTTTTCCATTCTCTTGTCAGGATTTTGGTCAGGATTTTGAGCATGCACTCAGATGCACCTGGCATGCTTCTCAGGTCGCTGGATCAAGGACTCGAACTGTGGAATCAGCCATGGAGGATCCACCATCTTAACCACCACACCGTCTCCTGGCCCCCAGGCCTCTTCTACCATCTGACAATACCCCATTTCTTTTCTCTTCACACTTCTCGCTGGTGGTTACTGAATGCCTGTCTCCCCATGGTTTCCCCAAGGGCAGGAATCTGGCCTGCCCTGTGTGCTGCTTCATCTCAACAAGGAGTGCAGGGCCCACTGTAGTGGGCACTCCCACTGGTCCAGGCACCCAGCAGCACCGTTGGGAATTGGAATTGGCTGGCAGTTTAGACAGAGGCCCATTCGGATTGATGCAAGGTGCTGAAGGCACCGTGGGGATAGGGGCTGTGACCTCTGTGTAGGTCTGGCTTACTCTAGACCAGTGGTTCTCAACAGGGGGGTGATTTTGCCTCCCAAGGTACATGTGGCATGTCTGGAGATGGTTTTGACTGTCACCACTGAGTGAGTGTGTATGCTACTGGCATCGAGAGGACAGAGGTCAGAGTTACTGCTAAATGGCCTACAAAGAACGGGCCAGCTCCCCATAACAAAGGATGACCTCCCCCAAGTGGATGGCCGAAGCGAAGCTGAGATACCTTGCTGCAGAAACAGGCAGCAACTGGCAGTGCTGGGTTCCAGTTTGGCCTCCCGGCTGCAACGGCCCAATTGAGTAAGAGCAAGAGAAACTTAGTGGCTGTCACAAGAAATACGGACTAGTGATGTGTGGCCAGGAGCCACCTTGGACTGGGCCTTAGTCAGAGGCCCCGACACCTTGGGCAGTTTCCCCTTAACTGAACTCCCGGCAGTAGGCCCCGGCCCCGCCTGGCACTCCGTCTCTCTGACTCACTCCTTGGGTTTCTCTGGCTCTCTGGTGGAGGGCACTGCACTCTTCCCACTCCATCTGCCGCGCTGATTATTTTCAGCTTGGCTTGCAAGGCCCAACGCTGCAATTACTCCCCAACCTCAATGGCTCCTTCTGAAAATAACACTTGGGTCGAAGAAAACCTCAGTCTGGTGGGCTGGGTTGTATACTAAACAGTTAAAG